CGGATTGCACCCAACTTTTGCGAGCGTGTGTGGTGCCCCACCCGGGCACCCCACGGCCAAAATGAACGAAATACGACAACAAACGCACGTTGCGTCACGTCCGGGCAGCATTTTCGGGGTTTTCGGCCCGGAAAATCGTAGAAAATCCATACGGACTCGAAATGAGACGAATTTTTTCGTGCGCGCCCTCTTAGGGCATTATAGCACGTGCAAAAAAATGTGCACGTTTGGCGGATGGAAAGCGGAGACGTGCGACCGAGGGTCCCCTCTGGCCATACCGAAACCACCCCCTTCCACAGCAAGTACCTGAGCGGTCTGACGGATTGCACCCAACTTTTGCGAGCGCGTGTGGCGCTCCACCCGGGCACCCACTACTAGGGAAAAGCCTATACACAGAATCTTATCAGCAGCGCGCTTTAAAATAAGGCGCTGCTGCTAATTAGCAGTAGCGTGCTCGGGAGTAACTCGCTGCTGAAACCAATATAGCAGTAGCGCGCCCGCTCAAAGAAGCGCTACTGCTATAATTCCCACGAGGCCGCCACGAGGCTAGTTATAGCAGCAACGCGTTATAACGACGGGCGCTACTGCTATGTAGCATAGTAGCAGTGTATTTCTGCAATAAGCGCTACTGCTAAATTTACTACAAAAGTTTAGCCCCATCTCCTCTATCCGATCCACTCACACAGTCACACACTAGCTCACTGGATCCCCTCTCAATCCCCCGCGCCGGTCCACCCCCGTCGCCCCTCCTCCGTCTGCGCCGCCATCACCTCCTCCTCCTTGCTGGACTCGGTACTGGCCTCCTCCTCCGTCCTCCCTCTCCACTCGCCGCTGGCCGGCCCCTCCTCGCTCCGCCTTCCTCCTCCGTCCTCCCTCCACTGGCCGCGCCGGCCGGCCCCTCCTCGCTCCGCCTTCCTCCTCCATCCTACTCTCTTATCCCTCCTCGAGTCGCCCCTCCTTCTCCCTCCTGCCCGCTACATTTTGATTTAGTAGCTAGGCTAGTTCATATGCAACATTTTGATTTAGTTGATATGATTTAGTTGATTTAGTAGGCTAGTTGATTTAGTTGACTTAGAACATTTTGATTTAGTTGATTTAATAGGCTAGTTCATTTAGTTGATTTAGTTGACTTAGAACATTTTGATTTAGTTGATTTAATAGGCAAGTTTATTTAGTTTATTTAGTTGACTTAGAACATTTTGATTTAGTTGATTTAGTAGGGTAGTTCATTTAATTAGTTGATTTAGAACATTTTGATTTAGTTGATTTAGTAGGCTAGTTGATTTAATTGATTTAGAACATTTTGATTTAGTTGATTTAGTAGGCTAGTTGATTTAGTTGACTTAGAACATTTTGATTTAGTTGATCGTTAATCCTTTGCTCATATTGCTTTAGGAAAAATGGCGCCACCACCACCACCACTATGTCGATTGTGCAAGTCAAGATGCACCAGCAGCCTTGCAACTGGCAAGCTGTTCGGCATCTACTTCCAGCCGAGTTTTCGTCATGCGGCGGTAAGAAATTAGATGAAATGTAATAACTATTTTGTTTTTAGTGTTGGCATTACTGCATTGTGTCATTTTGCTTATTTTACACAGATCGTCCCATTCAATGTGAGGTTGAAATTCAACAAGCTGACAGGAGACACTGTGACATTTGAGGCTCCTGGGGGGCCGTACACTATGGAGGTCGAGAAAGGACGCAATATGTCGCAGATTGGAGGAGATGGATGGGCCCGTTTCGTCGCTCGCATGCGTCTTACTAGTGGTGAGTTGATCAACTTCTCCTTCCGAGCAGAAAGACCCAAGCTAGCTGTCATTTATCTCAACCTGGTGGAAGATGATGAAGATGACGAAGATGATGAAGATGATGAAGATAATGAGGACCCACTCGATGAAGATGATGAGGACCCACTTCATGAAGCCATCATAGCTCAAAGAACAAGGCCGAGTGAGGAGCAGGTGTCCAACCTGTGGGACATAATTCCGCCACGTGCTGACTTTGTCGGGGTGCCATTCGTGACTCGCTTGACAAATACCATGGTTGATCGACATGATATGGTATGTTATACTTACAAATGCAAATTATCCGATGAATTACTTAGTGTACAGTCCAATGATATGGTATGTTGTGTGGAATCTAGTCGATGATATGTTTTAGTGTAGTGTTTGATCACATGCTTATTAGTGTAGAATCTAACGAAACTATTAATAGTGTAGATAATCCATATGTACTTATTTGCGAGGCTATTTATTAATTGATATGTTTTTCTTATTCAGAAATTGGCAAAGAGAATATCTGTGAGTTATGGTATCGAGCCTGATGAAGAAGGCTCGGCTGGACTACGCCTTACTGCAAGGGGCTCCGTCACAACCTGTACTTACCGCGTGGACACGGACGGTCGCACACTCTTAAATTCGGTTGGGTGGAAGAAATTCCTCGATGGCAAGAATCTTCGTGTTGGACAGGCCATCCTAATTACTATCAGGAACACCAACCGCCCAGGCTTAAGGATGATGATTGTCTTCGATATCATCTAGAACTACAGATGTGTGTGTGGCTATATCATCTAGAACTACATATGTGCGTGTGGCTATATCATCTAGAACTACGTATGATGATCGTCGTCAATATCATCTAGAACTACATATGATGATGGCCGTTGATATGACCTTGTACTGCTTGAGGATGCATGTTGACTATGCATGAAATTGTTATCTAGTACTCCCTTCGTTCCAAATTACTCGTCGTGGTTTGCACTAAAACCACGACGAGTAATTTGAAACGAAGGGAGTACTACCTAGTAATGGTTTATGAATTTGATATCTACTAGCAGTACCTAGTATCTAGTATCTGAAAGGGAAACTGAAAGGGAAAGGCGTAATGGGAAAATGATGAAAGATATAGAAGTAGCGAGGGAAGGCGAAATCGGTACAACTAGGTAATAGTAGCGCGTTCTTAAAAAGCGCTGCTGATATCGTAAATAGTAGTAGCGCGGGTAAGGGCTGCGCTACTACTATGAGTTAGCTGTAGCGCCTTATTAGTAGCGCGTCCACCCGCGCTGCTGCTAGCCTCAAAACCCGTGCTACTACTAGGGTTTTCCCTAGTAGTGACCCCACGGCCAAAATGAACGAAATCCGACAACGAACGCACGTTGCGTCACGTCCAGGCAACATTTTCGGGGTTTTCGGCCAGGAAAATCATAGAAAATCCATATGGACTCGAAACAGGATGAATTTTTGCGTGCGTGCCCTCCTAGGGCACTGTAGCACGTGCAAAAATATGGGCACGTTTGGCGGATGCAAAGCAGAGACATGCGACCGAGGGTCCCCTCCGGCCATCCCGAAACCACCCCCTTCCACAGCAAGTACCTGAGCGGTCTGACGGATTGCACCCAACTTTTGCGAGCGTGTGTGGCGCCCCACCCGGGCACCCCACGGCCGGAATGAATGAAATACGACAACGAACGCA